AAAAGCTGATACGTCACTTTGTGAAATTGAAGGGTCGTAATCCATAGAATAAAGACTTAGTTACGTCCGTGTTATATTAAGTGATGAAAAATCAAAACACATGATATTTAAAAATAAGTTTTATTGGTGTTCCTGAAAAACGAACTACCGGTATATCTCCTTCACACAGCGACTTCAAATCCATATATTTTTTGTAGTAATTTTTTAAGGCTCTGCACTCTCATAACTTCGATGGAATATCTTTTAAATTAAGTTTTTTCTGTTTAATCTAAATAAGGTGTATTCGTGCTGAAGGTAAAGTCAAAAAGACAGACACGTCACAGTGCGTACAGTGATAAAATTAAAACTACAATTTTACGAACTGGCGTACCTTAGATAAGCCATGCGCTGTAAAATAAGTATATTTTATAATCTCACTAAATTGGCGTTGAGCTCCCTCGTGAAATTTAATTTCCTATTGAAATGAGATAAGTCTAATATTATTTTTCTATAACTCTGAAGGCATTAGAAACTGACTTATGCCACTTCGTGATACTGACGAGCAACCTGTTTTAAGTAATAAAAACGACTCAATTTTTGAATTTTCGCCACTTCGTGTTATTGGCGACGATATATGCACACGGTAATCGGAACGTCATTTAACAGTTTTTAACAATGGGATTATATAATATTGATAAAAAATAATCGTCTTTGTTACCATTATCTACAAAAGGCGAGATTTATCTCAAAGCTATTCTTACACGTAACTTTAAGTAGATGTAGTTCACTAGAAGATTTTAACATCAAAGATTTTTAATAGACAAATGAAATAAACAAACCTATCTTTACATTACAAACGTACTTATCCTACTTATTAACCTGTTATAATGCGCCAATGATTTGCATGTGTCTGTCCTACTAATAAAATAAATTTTCATGCTGGTAGTTGATCTCTTACGTTTCTATTGTATTCTATTCATGTTGGAATGCTACTGGAGTTTCTGGCCAATTCAAGTCATAAGTCCATAAATAAAGCGACATCATTTGTTTTGTATCATCTGGATTCTGTGTACACAAATGTGATCTAAACAAGGAAAATAAACTAAGAATCTATATTTAACGATAGAAAGAACCAAGGTTCCACTTAACCCCAGTTTCGATATGTAACTTAAAATCAACTTATTGTATAGTGCACGAATTCGTATGTATATTTTTTGGACTAAAGTATTAACGTGTTGTCTCAAACGAAGCTGCTCGTAAATTTGTACACATATATACGTAATGTTGGATTCCTTACAGAGATTCAGTTTAACACTATTAAAAACGATACTGAAATCCTCTTTAATCTTGTTTTTGAGATTTTCTGAGCACAGAAGAAGTGCTTTACATTTATTTGAATCTGGCTTGAAATTATGTATGTTTGATTGATGGTTTATAGATCCCAGGTCACTGTTGATTTATATCATAGCTGTTCTGGTTATGGGTATAATCGGCATACATTTGTACCGCATACCGCAGGCGATCATGGACTTTTCGCGGTATCATCTCAAAATTTTAAAGATGGCTTCGCGGGATCTGGATTCTGGTAGAGCACCATTGTGCAATCGAGTCTTGCATTCGAGATTTGTCGCACGAAAATGTCGAACGCTTCAGTAAATTGGTGTTCTCATTTTGACATCTCGCTTTTATCACTGTTTCGTCACTTTCGTAAAGCTATTGGATATCAAGACAGATGTTGGAAAAGGGTGGCCATTAACGGAGAAGAATGTATTTTAAAGAAAATTTCTTCTTTCTCATCTGCCATTTACCTGGATGACAGATATACAAAATACACGGTCATTATTTCTCATGAAAGCAAGGTGGCCGAAACGTCGTACTGTATAGAATAATTAAAACATGTGGTTTGAGTTAACGGTTAGAGAATGGGTCCTATCACGAATGGTTCTTAAATAATAACCCAGCGATTGATTAAAATTGTTTAATAACAGTGAATTACGTTATCGTATTTGCATTCAGTCATAAAGCAAATTCTTCTGCGGAAATAGCTATTTCTGCTAAATTTACAATTGACTGAAAATATTATACTTTTTTTAACACGAGGAAGCAACTAAAAGCTTAATGTTCATTCTTATCAGAACCATTTGTCTAGTCCAGACTTACCTTCCTGGGCCATTTTCCTTGCGCAGCAACTGAGATGAGACCGCAAATATTTTTGCCACTCCAGTTGTTTGACAGGAATATTCCGGAAGCAGTACCACACTGTGTTAGGATTGCGTTAGACATTTGGTCTTATTTTTTCGTTAACGGCTATCATGTGTTCTTTTCCTTGTCCTTGTTGAATGCCAAAATAAAAGTGTCATTCTAACTACTTTCCTTACCGTGACTAGCTCAGCATTTGCATACTTGTTAAAAGTGAAGATATGTAGGATATGCCTATATTACTGGAAACAGTTATTATAAGTGGTATTTTCCCTTTATTTCGCCAGGTTACTATTTGTATTTTCCTCCGCATAGAAGAGAGATACTAGCGCTCCAGCAACCATTACACAAGGTCCAGGGTCAATAGAGCAGCAGAAAAGAGAGACCTTTGTCTTTATCTATGAAATGGTTATTGATTGTAAAAAGGACAGCATCCTTGTCACACACAGGCTTTATTTTATAGGTCCAAATGAAGAAAATATCGTTCTTTTTTTTGGCTTTGATAGTAAATTATTTTTCTTTATTTTACAGGTAAGAGTCTTTGGAGTCTATCTATCATCATGAAACAGTACGGTAAGTTATTCTTTGGCACTTGCTTATAAAGGTATGTATACGAGCCCTGTTTCAGTGAAGTTTGCCCAATGCTCCAAAACATGATATTTGTGAATTTTGAGGGCTAATCCAAATTTTATTTCAAGTATAATATTTTTCGATTCTTTAAATGTTTATGGAAAGATAACAAAACCGACGCGGCTATTTTTAAAGCGTTTTTATTTCGAAATTGTCTTCTTTGCAAAATGATTTGTGTAGGTATAGCAAAATACATGATGGAGACAACTTAAGTTAGATGGTCTGTTTATTGGCTTCTATAAAATAAAGGTAGACTTTGTAAAATAGCTGATAACATTTTACGTTGCTAAGAAGCTGTTTTTTGACGTTTCAATCAACTTTCAATGCATGTTTTCTGACGAAATAAGAAAATGATCAATCACTTGCATTTAAAAGGCCAAAATGCTTCCCAAATCGCTGACACTGTTAACAAATCGACGTATCCAGTTCGAAATATTATTAAATTGTACAAAACAACGAGATCTGTGTTCCAAAAACCCAGAACTGAAAGTCGCCCGCGCCCCCAATACCAACTTAAGAGCCTTAAAAAGGATTATCAATGAAAATCGTCGTGTTAATTATAACGAATAGAAAATATTATGGAATTAGGCAATCACAAAAAAGTTTTATAGAGCAACTTGTCACAAAAGCTGTTCAAAAACTGGGACTTAAATCTTTCAAGGTGGCCTTCATTATTTTTTTATTATCCGTTTTTAATTCAATATTTCTAGGCAAAAGAGAAGCCCTTGCTGACAAAGATTCAGAAGAAAAACAGACTAGTGTGGGCCATAGAACACAAATTATGCCCCCGAACCTATGGAACTCCATTATTTGGAGTGATGAAGCCAGATTTGAAGTACGTGTTGGTAATAGTAGAAGTCGTGTCATAAGAACTAAAGAGGAAGTGTTTCAGAATGACTGTTATGATTTGGGGATCCATGTCAGCAAGGGAAACTTACACTATGTGGAAGGTACTGTGAATGCTGATAAGTAAATGTGCTTCAAAATAACTTAATACCCCAAATTGAATAAATGCGCTTAAACAATATTGAATGTATCTTCCAACAAGATGATGCCGCTTGCCATACGACTAATAAAGTAAAAGATTAGATGTTAAAAAAACAATATTCCAGTCTTAAAATGGACGTCGGCTAGTCCAGATCTATCGCCCATCGAAACCTTGTGGCATATCATGAAGAAAACGGTCCGATCGAATCCCGCAAGAACCCTTCCAGAATTGTGAACCCGTCTCCCAGAAATTTGAAACAACTTTACACCAGATGATTACCAAACATAAGTTGACGCTATGTCAAGACATATCGAAGCAGTAATCAGTCGAAAAGGCGATGTAACGCAGTGGTGATTTGCTGCTATTTGGATTTGTCGATTTTTATTAATCGGCAGTTTTTTTGAATCTGTAAGATATTTTTTTTGTTGTAAAAAAATTTAGTACTTTAGACTAGTACTAGTAACAAAAATATCGTATGTTATCAGAAATACATTTTAGCTTTTGATACGTTTCCGCTAATATGACAAATTTCATAAAAAACGTAGTATTGATAGTTTGGCCAAATTCACTGAGACAGTGCTCGTATATGTATAAACCTGGATTTTGATATAATAGAGTGAATTTTTATTTATTCTACTTCCTACACAAAAAAGGAGGGAGTTATTGTGATCTCTAAAATAAATTCGAATTTTATTGTGAGTATCTCGCCACGCCTTTTTTTTGATTAATTAATAAAACACAATGATAAATACTAACGGTTGGTCCAAGCAAAACAGTTGTCTAGTGGCGTACAAATTTAGGCCTTAGCACAATAAAGCGGAGAATAGAAATGGGTTAAGAGCGCCAGTGACTTAGGACGAATTAAGCCACAACTCCCCGAGATGTTAGTCGAAACTTGTTTTCTTGACCACACCACACAAAAGGAGAATCTAACAGAGATGACGAAATTTAAGTAACAGTACACACAGAGAGAGCCAAACAAAATAAGATATTAAATGAATCACAATATATTGATTAATAAAAAAACGCACATGTGATCCACTACTGGAGTGCAAGTAATACAAAAAAAAAGAAAGGATGTTATAAATCTTAAATACAACCTGACAAAATTATTTTTCGAGATAATAAAAAAATATTAAACTTATCTGTAGGTCTTCTTTGTCTGGCGCGGCCGAGATGTCCTCAACTCTGGTCAAAAAGTGGCCAGTAGTGGGCACGTCACTGGGCAGGGGCTGCTTGCCTCGTTGCCTAAAATTATGGTAGTAAAGAAAAAAACCCTAAAGAGAGAAAGACTGTTTAAAAATCTACTCTACTCTCTGTCTGAGATAAAACTACTCATTGAAAACAATCGCACTTAAAGGAAAACAATGTACATTTTTTGTACAAGAAAAGTAAAGCAAAGGCAAAAAAAGATAAAAATGTACTAAACTAATATACCCTTGTTATAAAAAGTTATGGCAGCTCAAAAATCAAAATCTTGATCAATGTAATAGAAGGTGCCATGTAGGCACTGCCCCCATATTTGAATACGTAGAATGTCCAATAAAATCAAGAAGTCTCTAAGAATTTCAATAAGCAATAATAAATGTATAAAGATCAATGAAATTGTTAGTTAGAATGATATTTTACCAGTTTACACTCAGGGTTTTTTTCAAGGGGATACCCTTGTTATAAAAAGTTATGGCAGCTCAAAAATCAAAATCTTGATCAATGTAATAGAAGGTGCCATGTAGGCACTGCCCCCATCTTTGAATACGTAGAATGTTCAATAAAATCAAGAAGTCTCTAAGAATTTCAATAAGCAATAATAAATGTATAAAGATCTATGAAATTGTTAATTAGAATGATATTTTACCTGTTCACAATCAGGGTTTTTTTTCAAGGGGATGGCTTCCACCAATTTGCAAAACTGCAACAAGATGCAACCAACTGGAGGAGAAAGGATGATGATTCTCTTCTGTTTCTATTGACTAAAAGAAAGCAGACATTGAACGAACGTCATCAGGACACGCATTAAAGCACATGGTCCGTAGGTATAAAAAAAAGAACTTACCGCTGAGGGTCAAAATCCCATAAAAAAATGGAAACCAAAATGACTAAAATTAAGTTACACAAAAAAAGGGTGCTAGTCCATGAATTGACGCTTGGGGCTAATATCCCAGAGTCCAGAAAATGACGAAACGACCCCTGCACCACGACCTCAACGGAAACAGAAAAGCGAATCATGCAGAACACGTAATGTACAGTAATGTACAGAAGGTATCTTGAGTGGCCTTGAAGAAGATATATGTTTTATAGGAAACCAACTAACGGAGAAAAACTACAGAGTATTTTTTTCTGTTCGTCAACACCATACTGAATCGCTGAGAAAGAAAGATATAATACGAGTGAAATTATACAATCAATAAACTATTAAATTTGCCAAAATAAAATCATTGAAAAGGGTTTGGCCTAGGAATGAGCATTGTATTATCAATGAAGAGAAATTCCAATTATTGATAAGTGATAAATAGAAAAAAAAGGTTACGTGATTTTGGCACGTTACAATCTTTTGCATGTTCTATACGTACAATATCTAGCTTTTGAAGGAATACCATCGAGACCTCCGAAACTTAATTTTTTAACAAAAAGATAAATAATATCCTTAAAATGGCATGGTAAGATGTCTACGACGACGATTACGATGTTATTTATTATTGATTAGTTGTAATTATAATGGTTTTAAAGTGCACTTACACGATTTAATTGGAATCCATGACGATAGCAATAATTGCTGTAATAGCATGGCGTTTTTCTACTATATTACCTGCCTGGAATATCGCCTTTTATAATTTTAATACTAGCTCGTGTGGTAATGGCACAGTTGATAAGCTCAGTTGTTGTTACAGTGTTTAGGTAGTATGTAATTGAATGTTCAGGTCCACTCCAAACCACATATTTACATTGCCGTTCAAAGAATGACTACTGGAATATACCAATTACGAAAATCGTACTATTTTTATTTTGTATCTCTCCAGTGAACTGTTTAAGCATTTCATCTCTTACTCTTAGAGAAAAATGTATCTTCTTTCAGCCGGTTTCAGCGTACCTTCTTGTTTTTTAGTAGTCAAATGCCCAAAGCTATACTCATTAACAAAGGAAATGCAACAACACCCAGTAAATATCGTTTTATTTCGGTCCAGACGCGGCGGATAAAAAGGCCTAATAATGTAAAATGAGTGCGCAACTTCAATATTTTGTATAACTTGGACAATGCCCTGTGGGAGGAAGAGTGAGGTTGAAAAAAAGGGACAAAAAGTGGACTGACACTAAATGGTCTGGTATTTCGCACACCATGATATTGCAGTCATATATTAACGGAACTAATTTGACAGGAATACCTTCCATATAAAATGAATGGTACCCTTCTACGTCTAACTGTTGGTTCTGCGTTTTTTTGCTGTGTTACGCAGGCAACAATTTCCATGATTGAAGTCAGACTTGAATGCCTAAATTGTAAAAAGGTGAGCAATAACAAATTTGCATTCATATATGGTGAACTTTCCTCGCAGCATCCACACCGGAAATGGATGTCTTTCGATTGAGGTGTCTGGAGATCTATATGATAGAATTGCTTATACAGTTTGTCGCTTCTCTAGGGATCTCGGCTCCTGTTATACCTACAGCAAATGTTAAATAGGGGACGTTTCAAAGGAAACTTAGTGCTTTCGATAGCCGACTTCAAATTTACGATCGAGCAATTGGTTTTAAAAATATCAGCGAAAAACCGAAATGTGACATTATTCGGACATTTAAAAAAAATAAGATAGCATGTATGACATGTCTCAACTGTCTTTTGTTTTCCAGCAACGCGCCTCAACTTTCATTTTTCTTATGACCGCCATATTGGATTTTTGGATCGTTGAAAAGAGTGTAAAATTTCCAGTCTACTGATGTCTCTCAAGTACATAAAAGATTGGACTATCACAGAAATATCATCATTAGTAATGTTATTTATGTATTAGACTTTTCCTAAGGAGGCTATGATTTATTTGTCAGAAAATAACATTAATGAGTAAGGCACAAAAATCAAATTTTCAATAGAATATTAACGTTAATATCGACTTTTCAACAAGTCACATGTTTTGGTATAAATTCCCAACTATGAGTGTGTTAAAAAAAAAACAAGTCGGAAAAATCGTCGTAAATTTATTTTACACTTGAACAAACAAACATTTTACAAAATTGTAATATAATGTAAAATCTAATTATGTAAATGGGTATTAATTTACAGATTTGCAAAATAACGTCCATTTGCATCCAGACATTTTTGACAATTGTTTTTCGTACAACCTTAGCTGGCTAGTGTATTTCTATTAATGTTTTTAACTGTGTTAAAAATTCTTTGTCTCGGGATTTCTAGATTTCGGTTAGACTAGCTCGTAAAGCCGGCACAACCTGGTTTCGCAAAAGCTCTAGATACCTCTGTCCGTTTAGGTTGTATGCAAACAAAAATGGTCGTATCAGTCGATTTCCTGAAATGATTAATACCTAATTTCAAATCGGTGCCCAATTGAAAACGTTAGTTCTATATCTGGTCTGTAGGTGTCTCTCTGCCACTTCGTGAGTTTTCCACAGCCCAATGATGAGTGTTGTGCTTCTAAAAGTCCACAAGTCGTAAACCTACTCTCATCGGACCACAAGACATGATTTACAAAATCGGAACTTTCATTAGACTTCCAAGTATACTACTCACAGAAACGCATTCACCTTGGAAAATCAGTTTCCTTAAGTCATTGAACTATTGTAGGTATGTATTTAACGCTCTCTGTAGTGTTGATTTTGACACGCCAATTTCTAGTTCTATAGTTCTTACTGATACACTAGGGATTTCGGTGACAGCTTGTAAAGTGTTTCTGTCGCGATTTTCATTTTCAATATTGTATCCGCTTCTAGGTTGTTCGAAGGCCCCACGGTGTATTAAATTAACTACTATTTTTCTAAATTTGGTTTAATGAGGCTGCCGTCGCTTGGGGTATATCTCCCAAGTACCTTGCTGAGGTAATCTCGGCGTTTCTGTGTGATTGCCAGTACAGCGTTAACATATCAAATTTCATTTCTTCATTTGAGTAGGGAATGTCGACTGATGTTTCAACAGGTTTTGACAATTTCGTTTGTCAGATTGATGATTTTAATGAGAGAAAACGTACCTACTACTTATTAAAACACAATTTTAAAACCTTGCATTATTTAAAAAATCCGTTACTTATTGATTTTATTTTCTGACAAATAAACCGTGGCCTCCTTAGAAAAAGATTTATATATAACATTACGTGTGATGATATTTATTTATACTCCAATCTTTTATGCACTTGTGAGACATCACTAGGCTGGACATTTTACGCTCTTTTCAAAAATCGAAAAATCCAATATGGCGGCCATAAGAAAAATGAAAGTTGAGGCAGGATCCGGGAAAACAAAAGACGATTGAGACATGTCATACTCGCCATCTTATTTGCCTTAAAAAAATGCCCGAAAAAGTCTCATTTTGACAGCTGTCAAATTAAGCCTTTCGGATTTAATTTACTGGCAAAAAACAAAATTCGACATTTTTGTTTTTTCGCCGATATTTCCAAAACCAATTGAACGATCGTGAATCTGAAGCCGTCTGTCGAATTCACTAAGTTTCCTCTGAAACTCTCCCGATTTAACCTTTGCTGTAGGTATGATAGGAGCCGAGATCCATGTGTAGAGAAGTAAATCTGGGACACACTGTATATACAACTGAATTTGCATCCATAAAGTATGTTACACATTTCATGATACATAATTTATGTCGGGCTATTATAAGCATGTGTACAATCATTTCTGTTTGTCCTTTGGTTTAATAATATTTTTGGCTTGTCTTGTATTGTCATTCCATATCCTCTCCGTGCTCATAGAATCCAACAATATTTGTTGCCGTATTGTATTGCGGTTCGATCAATGTTGAAATGAGAGCATCCTCTCCATAGCAACAAGCCACACAGATGAAGCGCGAAAACTGCACCCCGCCGGAAAAATAATTAGATTTGCCTGGTATACCAGGCAACCCCGATGCATTTGGTTGAGTGGATGCACGGTGAAAAAGCACGGAAATTGCAGGTGGTTAATTAGTGTCCCTCTTCAGTTGTTGCCCCAGCAAGAGTATCGACTTCATTGGAATACCAATAGTTTGGTTTTTACTATTGCTGTTATTTTTGACTTCATTGAGAGAAGTGTTGGTGTCATCAAAAAACATAGTTTTTGAATAACCCCTGAATCAGTCTACGTTAGTTCCCATTGGGGTGAAATCGGTCTCCGTCCAGTATTAATAAATAGAACAAGATACATTCTGGAATATTTCAGTGCAGATGGGACCAAGACATTTGATCGTAAACATTGCGTGCTGATGCTCAAGAATTGGGCTTGTAACATGACTTGAGCTGTAATACTTGAAATCCTAACCTTCAAGACAATCTTTAGACCTCATTCCACATAACCATGAAATAAATGCCATAGGAAGTATTGTAAGTAGCCGTATCAATAGTGTATGGAAAACAAGCAGTCCTAAACGATCCAGCCATTTCAATAATACAGACATTATGCATAATTAACTCGAAGGTGTCATATTGTGTTCGTTCAATTTCAAAGCAGTCTTGATTTACAGAGCGAAGGAATGAATATTGGATAAAGGTGCTCTTCGCATATATCTCGAATGGCATTTGATGATCCGAGAGCTGTCTTCAATTATGAACGAGCAGTGAGGATTACAAATAAGTTATTGTGAAAAGAATGCAATCAACGGGATATTTTTTTCACCTTTGCCAAATTTGACTGACTTAGTTACAGCAGTAACTAATATAAGATTGGCACATGACATATAAACCTAGCAGCCATACATCATAATCATAAATATGTATAAGTGCATTAGTTCAAAAGATAAAATCAGCGTTCACTATAATGTTTAAATATAATTAAGAATAGCCTTTCGTTCAACAGTTAAGATCCCATCCAGTGTTTCATTTTTCTTCACCAAAAATGATTTCTTAATAACTCTTTATGAAGTCTGTAAAGGTTTGACGAAAATATTCTTTTTATAGTATTCTGATAGTGTCTATATTTACTCTTAGAAGTTTTGTGGCACAAGCAAGTACTATGGAAAGTTGCCGACTATGTAATATATTGGTCTCATGGTGCAAGTCATTTGAAGCATATAGATTATGCGAGGTTGAATTTTAAACAGATCTTTGTGTTACATCTATTTCTTTTACAGGCCGCGCTTCAGGCTGGCATTATATGTATTTCAAGATTCAAGACATTGTATAAAATACTGAGATAATTTTCTGTAAAGACATCTGATAGTAAATGCTTTGAGTCTGTAAGCCATACTTCTCTATTTTTTGTAATTATATGAATATGAATGATTTTCAACATTTTTTTTCAGTGACAAAACACATAATTTTTCGGTTACTATTAAGTAATTTTTATAATGTGTATTAAATGAACCGACAGTCTTCGAAATATATACAATATGATCAGATATGGAAATACCTTTGAATCCATGTTGTGGTCTAGCATATTTTGGAAAATGGTGACACTGCTCTAGCATGTTCGAGTTTTTTTTATTATGCTAAGGTCGTTTCATCAAAAGAGCTTTACAGTAAACATTTGTACTTAATTTTGTGATAAAACAGTTGCGCAACTTACTTGGTTTTAATTTCTCTATACTTTACAGTTAACTTTGTAATATTTATGAAAGATAAACTTCAGTATATCAGCTCTGTACCTATAATAATTCTCATGCCCGTATGCCATA